AGTGTCCTTCTGACCGACTCTCAGCTCGATCAGCTCGTCGTATTACGCGAACGTTCGCGAAAATGGCTGGTCGGCTGTTCGCGTTGGTCAGTTGAAACATCGTCGCGACATTAACGCTGTAATCCTGCGTTACTCGCTGCTCAATGTTGATTTTTCAGGCGAAATTTGCAGTCGGCGGATATACAGATAATGCGCGAACGCAATTTTTGTTCCACATGCACACACGCAGTCGTGTTCCCACAGAGCTGTCGTCGGCTTGCGTAACTGAAAACCCTCGAAAATAGTTGTCCGGTCACAGCACGGTCGTTTTCACTTCCGCGATTGCAGCGCACGTGAACAGTGCGTGACCCGAACAGTACCTCCCGGTAAAGAGAAAAAAGGGGAAAAAGGGGGTTTGAAAGTAATCCGTATTTTTACCGAGACCTCCGAATGCATTCGCCTCGGTACGATATGCTGCTCGAAACAATCGAGGAATCGTATCGAATAATTAATTATTTCTATGGCTCGAACAGAGCACGGCGAGGTAAATAGCGAGGGTATTGTATACGCATAAATGCATTCGCTCGAATCTCGATTACACCGAGAGAGAGAGAGAGAGAGAGAGAAGTATTCGGTCTGCTTGGATTTGCTGAGTGAAAAGCGATTGGATCGACGAGAAATTGGAAGTCACTCTCGTCCAAAGATATATCGTGACTGAGAAAGAGATTTCTTCGAATTTAATAAATTTTATCGCATCCAAACAAATTTCATCATCGGCGTGCTCCGAAGAAACTAACGTTTCGATTAACAAGTATTATTGTTAGATTTATCAACGAATATATATTTTGATCTTAAATAAAAAATTTGGAACGGGAGATTACTTTCTTATAAGAAAATTATATGTTTCGTTTTACATATTTATTGTAACCGGGAGAATAAGCGGACAGATATTTGGATTTAAAACGCTTGTTGTTGGAAATTATTCGAAGTGGACGAAATTAAAGACACCGAATTAATTTACACTAATTTAAAGTGTCTTTAATTATTTAAATTAAATAAATTATTTAAATTTATTTAAATTCGATGTCTTTAATTATTTAAATTTAAATAATTAAAGACATCGAATTTAAATAAATTTAATTTAAATTTAAATAATTAAAGACCCCGATTATTTAAATTTAAATAATTAAAGACACCGAACTAATTTAATTTAATTTGATATCTGTTTCGCAAGAATTTTAGGCACACTTCTCGCTTCTCGTCAAACAAAACGATTGCAAAAAGAGACTTTAAACAAAATTTCGTCGATTCTATCATTTTTTCTCAGTGTAAATAACGCGTGCCTTTGCGATTCTTTGATTCCTCCTCTCTCTCTCTCTCTCTCTCTCTCTCTGTGTATGCATCTCGCCGTCGGCGTCGCGAGAAAAATATGCCGTGGAATTGTATTCAGCGTAACGCTCGCTCGCGACGAATCAGAGGATCGTGCGTGGCGCGGGTAAACAATTCCGTTGAATTCGCTGCCGGTGTCGCAGCGGAGGACAAACGAACGCAATAATTAAGCGCATTCAGCCGGTCTAGTTGACATCGTCGGCCGGGTCGTGGGTCAGTGAGCGCACGTACAATCGCACGACGACGACGAGGACGACGAGGAAGATGCGTTTTTCTCACATTCCCCCAGGAGGCAGAAGAATTCTCCCTCGTTTCGCGTTACCCTCGTCGAATAGCGCGGGAATTCGCGAGCTGCTCCGCGGCGTATCCGTCGGCGCCGGAATAAAATCGCAACATACCCGGTTTAAAGGTCGAGTCCGCCGTTCGATCGAGCCATTCAGCTATTTTCATTCAATTCGAGAAGTTTACGTTGGACAAGCTCCAGGCGCACGAGGCCGGCCCACGTGACTTTGATGTATCGCCTTCTCTTTCTCTCTCTCTCTTTCTCTTTCTCGCGTTACTGGCAGCCTTCCCCGAACGATTTACGCCGTATAATTAAATCTCGCCCGGCTGTGACTACTTCGCCGGGCGGCAACGTCGAAACGCCACGTGAGTGACGGGATTCCCAAGCGGGCGAGATCGCCCGGTCAGACGGCCGGAAACGCGGTTTACACATTCTACACATGGTGTAAACCTCACGAGTGCTCTGTTAACCGTTGTGTCTTTGTCCAGCCAAGACTACACCAGGTGTTTCCAGGCTGCAAAAGCGGACCCGACATACGTATACAATTTCGCGTATAGGCACGTGCTCGCGGCACCAGACGTTCAATACGGCGAACCCACCGTTCAATACAGCGATCGAGGCCGGAAATAATCGCCGGAAAATGTAATATCGCGTCCTATTGGACACAACATCCGCGTATAAAGCGCGCCGTTCGGCCTCCCGTTCGCGACGATCGAGAGGAACGCGAGATAATGAAATTGTAAATTTGCCCGCGCTGCTGATAACGCGTGAGATCTCCGATCTCACATATTTTCTCACGATTATTTAATAGTCGAATTTTTAGATTAAGCAATTCATTAAGATAGGTGGCTCGCCCAAGCTATTTTCTCAGGAAGCCCTTCAAATTTTAACAGCGTTGTGATTGGTGGAAATATTGTCCGCGCGTCTGCAAAGTTAAAAAACCGATCGACCGTTTGGCAGCTGAAATATTCTTTCGCAGGATGACACATTCTTTATACACATTCTTTGAGATTAATATATTATATTGAAGTTAATATATATTCATATCTTATTTTTAGCTTGCTTCTTTCATTTTTTCTAAATTACGTTTAGGATTTTAATGAAAAACTACTATGAAAATTATTTGATTAAGAATTAATGTAGAAACATTATACAAGAATTTCAGAATTACTGATCATTTTGTTTCGAAAATATACGCATAAATAATTTACAATTTATAGTAATACTCGATATATGTACATATATACATATTTAAATATTTGTATATCATTTTCTATTATGTGTACACTTTTGTTGGCTTTATTAGCTTTATTGTATCATCATATTGTAGAATGTAATATATCAGTTACATTTCTTCATTTTTATGATTTTCATATATATTTATAATTTAATTGTTTCTTGTTATCAAGATTTAAATGTGGACAAGCGTCTTCTGCCTCCCCCACCTTAGACATTTTCTCAACCCTTCGAACGCGGAGTTGAAAAGTAAACGATCATTGCTCGGAAAAAATGCTATTGTCTATCAACGGAAATTGTCAACAGGGCCATAATTGGGGTAAATCTTATTGGTTCAATGGCAATATTATGAAAACTAATACATTATATACTGTATTAATAATTCGATTCAGGAGGAGTATTAATTTCAACAATATCGCTACCTGTGACGTCCAATTATGGCGCTGTTAATCAATTCTATTGATACAATAGCATCGTTTCCATGTGGGGACGAAGTATTTTGAACCGTGACAAGTCAATCGGGGTTAAAGAAACGACTTTTCGAAAAATCGAAGAGCACAATAATTGGAACGAACGAAATCGTATTTACCAGCGTCGCTAAAATATATAAAGGAATACGAATATAAATGTTCGTTGATCATCAATGAATATTTGCATCAATTGTTATTTATTACTCGTTTCGTTAGCACACTGAGAAAAAGCATTTCTTGGAATTTCATACATTTTATTGCATCCAAACCAATTTCATCATTGGCACGCTCGGAAGAAACTAATGTTTCGATTAATAAATGCGATTGTTGGACTTTCCAACGAATATGCATCTTCATCTTAAATAAAAAAAGTATTTGAAACGATGGATAATTTTCTCATGAAGAAATGATTTGTTTCATTTTACATATTTATTGTAACCGAATAATATTTTATCCGGTTAAAAGATATTATTTCAAATAATAGCGTTCTTCCTGTTAAATAATCGAGGTTTCTTGAAGGAGACGATGAAATGTGTACTCAAACAAATAATATTTCCCGTATGTTGCTTCTATGGGACAAATTTCATTCGAATAAACAGAAACACTAAATCTAAAGAGGCCTTTTCCTGCGGCCTTTCCTAAAAAACCGTGGAAACTTGTCAGACGAATATATTACATCCATATATAATACATACGTACGTATATACAACGGTTAAAGAGGAGAAATATCAGAAGACCGTCCGCCTGACTCGCGGGGGAATTTCATCGATCGTCGATCATACCGTTCTATTTGCTCGAGGATATTTGATTAAAGCTTAATACTCGAGTGTTTTCGGAAGACGGTGGACGCCACGACAGATGGACGACAGTCATGCGTGCGCGCGGAAAGCATCCTACGCTATCAATCTGCGCGCTAATGCAACTCCCAGATAAAAACATTTGCACAGTCTGCACTTCCACTCGTGCGTGCACTCACGTCGCACTCATTCTCTATCGTAAAATGAGACCCGGGTGTCGTCATAATACGCCCCGAGTAATAATGGACGCAGGGCAAGATCGCCCGGAACGCAATTCGTCTCTCCCGCTAAGCCCAAAGGCAGCCCCGTAATTAACGTCGATTACAGCGACGAGGAAGACGATCTCCTCCTTCGCTGGATTCTCACGATTCACTTGAGATTCACTCACGCATTGCCATCGCGGCCGCGTCGCGCGAGAAGCCTCCGCGCGACTCACGGATCGCGCATCTTTTCAGTCCCGAAATGTTGCTTCTCAAATTATTTAACGATGCAGAAAAAAGTTTCGCTGGAACGGCGAATTGTTCAGCTCTCTGAACCGTAGAGTTTGGTTATTTGAAAGCTCCGAAACTTCAGAGAAGCAAACCTTCGGTTTAGACAACGAAACTTTGGTTATTGCAAGCAAAAGATTCGTCCGCCCATAATCAAACGAGAATTTAGTCGATTCAACTTAAATTAAATGGGTTCCTCGCTGCGTGAGTTTACCGTGAAACATTTATAAGGTCTCTCGTACGATTGATTTACGTAACATTAGTCACACATCACCCGAACACACATTCGACCGATCGCAGACAAGTTCGCAACGATGTCACAGGCACATTGAAATTAGGTTGATGAGATGCGACTTACCTGTACTGATCGGTAAATATCCTGAAAATAAGAATTCGTATTTATTCGACGAGGTTCAACTATGTTCAGCATGCGATTAATTATAGTTAGACGCGTGTGAAAACTCGCAGAAAACGGGAAGGTTAAGACCTGAGTAATCACGCTCGCGTGACGTCGCCGTCGCGTATTCTGGATCGTATTTGCGGGGTGAAACGGAAAGAAAAGAGGAAACGCAAAAACTCCGCCAAGCATGAGAAAAAAGAGAAACGCAAGCGTAAGAAACGTGGCGTTGCGATGCGCTCCGTAAATTTCCGGTGAATCCCGAGCGAGAAAAGCGGCGTTGTAAGCAGCAGGAGGACGCTTTTATACGCGGCGAACGATTTCTCCTGGCGTTCAGATCGCGGAAAACGACACGTGTTTTCAATCATCCAAAACTACGCTCTAATCAGCAGTATAGCTACGTCGCGGAACAAACCATAAGCGATATCGCAGTTTGCGAAAGCGCGAGATTTGCGTGAACTTATGCTAAAGCTGTATGCGTACGTATTTGTGTGTATGTGTGTGTGTGTGTGTGTGTGTGTGTGTGAGATCGGTACGATCTCGCGACTGAGCTTGTTCGGTCGCTCTTCTCATAACCATTAATAGACAAATAACCAGGGGAGCAGACGAGAAAGAGTGACATAATTAAAAAACAGTAAAGAGATCAGGTTTCGACGAATAATAATAGTTTTGCTCACAAGCGTGGATTGCACCGCCGCGATTCTGCCATTTTCAATTCGAATCTGCAATCCCTGGATAAAATAATAATCGGTTGATTCTTTACGACAAATTGAGAGAAACAAAGGGAAAGCATCAAAACCGATATATATATATATATATATTTTTTGTTTTTCAGATCTAAGGCCTCGTTGAAAGTGTAAAATTAAAATTCATGTACGTGAATGCAAGCCAGCAATACTTCTCTACCAAAATATGTAATAATCTTACAAAAATTATTTCATATTTCTTACAAATAACTATTTTTTTTAATGTTTGAGGATTGGCGTTTTTTGAAACTTGGCTCCGAAACTAACATATCTATGAGAGAGATTGCCTATAGGAAATTATCGAAAAAATAAAAGTACTGAAATTGGATTATTTTGTATATTTATTTTATACATTTGTTATATCCCTACATGATATCTTCAATTTAACATATTTAAAAAATTTATTTAAAAAATTTATTTATTTACTTATAAAACTTGAAAAATTTTACGATGTTATTTCTTCATTATGTGGAAAGTGATTTCTTAATTTCCTCTTTCCAACCATCTTAAACAAACTTGAATAAGAAAAACCACAATAATCTTTAACAAGAAAAATAGAGGAAAATCAATTATCGGTAGCTTCAATTGTATTCTGTAAAACGATATTTCGCAGCAAAGTTCAGATATGTCGGTTAAAAAACCAATAAACTTTTTACAATTATTTCAGTTTACAATAGAGCAACCTACTTTTTTCGCGTGGTTCAATCCAGACAGAGGATGGCACAAAATCCAATGAATTGAATTGAATAAAAAAATACAAAACTCACACTACAAAACAGTATCGATAAATAAATTATTTACCGCTGATTATTTTAATTTTCGACAAAATTTCAGCAGAACGAAAAATCAGACGACGCTGATAATACAATCAAACACGCAAGCAAGAAGCGGTCACTTTAGCTCCAATTACTGTACGTAGTATTGTAGACGAAATTCATATTCCTTCCGACAGAGCTTAATACTTAATAGTCGAGAAATTTATTTTATAAATTTTATATTTTTTTCGGATACATTTGTTTACCATACTTATGTCAGCTTTGGCACTTTTCCTTTAAGTGTTTCCGCATATTAATCCAACTGATTGCAGATTTTTAACAGATACTTTACACGGAAACGCTCCTTTTTAATTAGTTACCGCTTCCACCTTCGAATGAGAATAACACGAGCGGTGACGCATCGCGTGCATCAACGGGAATCAACGCACGCGTAAATCTCGTGGCGATTTTGCCGAACCGCCACGAAATTCGAGCGAGGCACCGAGTGAGGCAGAAGGTTGCAGGGACACGTGTCGCCCACGCGGCGCAATCAGGCGCTTCTGAGCGGGCACACGTGAGGCTAACATCGATCGAGTTCAGGTGAAACAGGTGAGACTACGACCCTGAGAATTTCGTGAGACACCACTCTCCAGGTAATATAACGGGGGACTTTACACACAAAAATCGAACGATCATGCACGGACGTGGGGAAACATTTTGTTGCACGGAGAAAAGGTTGTAGAAATTACCACAAAATCTCGTGATGTTGAATCACAACCGAAATTATGACGTATGTTGTAATCTCTAATGTATCTCTGACGTATTTCATTGTAATCTCTGACGTATTTCATTGTACACATTATTAATGATTACAATACATCAGTCCCTATAAGCGCTTAATATTATTAATATTAAATAGTAATATTTCTGGAATATTAATAGATGATTATATATCCACCTCTATAATATTAAAAAAATAATATTATTTAATGTTATTGTAATATTATATATTTCTTAAATATTCAACTTTATATATATATATAATTGTAGTTTATTACTTCAAATGTATTGCAATACCAATTATTTTATTATATAAATAAAGTCGAAATAATTTTGTGTAAAAATGTTTCTTTTTATTATTGTATACTAAAAACTTGTATTATCAAAAATTAAAAATTTATACATATATATATTTTTTAAATTTATATATAGTTTTCTATATTATTATTATTATTTTTAAATATTCTAAGAACATTTTTATATGCTAAGAATATTATGTGAAGTTGACATTAATAGAACATTCCTATAACATTAAAAAAATATCACATAACATTCTTAGAATATTATAAGAATATTATTTTAATATTTAATAATGTTTATATAATATTCTAAGAATATTATATGATTAGGGGTCGCAATTCCAGCATTAGAAAATTTTGCGGCGGTCTTTGCTGCAATGTTTTCCCCGTGCATTCGGAAAGTGGACTCGGTGGGCGGTGTCGGCGCGGCGAAGTTCCTCGCGCGCGGCGACTAGTCGGTTATGCACAGGTGAGCTGCTCGAACGGCTTGTTTAGTGTGAGGGGTTCAAGTGTGCGAAGTAAAACAAGAGGAGTAAGTAATAGGATCGAGTACATACGCTCGCTCGACAGGAAGCTCTGTCTCTTTGAACCTGTAACCCAAGGATCACATACATCATATCGTCATACCCCACACCCACTAGCGACGATAAGACACTTAAATACAGCGGACGGATGATGCTTCCGAGGCTCGGCATATACTGGGTGTCCCAAAAGAATATATACACACTTTAACAGCTTCGCGATATCTGCACTGCCGTGAATTTGAAGATAAACACTGACAAAAAAAATAATTATTCATATTTCTGTAGATTTCAGTTGTCAAAATGTGAACAGTGCGTTAATGAACGCTGACTTTATAATCATTCAAAGTGCGTATACATTGTTTTGGGACACCCTGTGTTGTATATGATCGTAAAACGTCGTGAAACATTAGAAGCCAATCGAATGATCGTTGATTCATCAACATCCCGCGAAGAAAGGTCGGCCGACATTCACAGTCGCGAGTTTCTCGAGTTCCGAGAATGAACGATACGTGACTCTCGCGATCTCAACTAATTTCGCGAAATGATCATCGTTGCAACGGAAGCATTATCTCGCCGATCATGGACAATCGGAAGTATACACGAGACATAGTGATACGTGTGAGACGAGAATAATTAACGATAAGCACCACCGCTACCCAGCGAAAGAGAGCTACGAGAGCTACACAAAATCATGAGGACGATTTACAGACTGTTTGCGTACAGTTGTCCCGACCAGATGGCGGCGACACGGATCGAATGTTCCAAAATTCGTTAATTTCATAATTAAGCATGCAAAGAAGAAACGTGACGCGTCAGTCGCGAAGCGCAGCAACGAAGGGATCATGTCGGCGAGTCGACGCAACTGGGATTGTTCCGTAGATTTTAGGATCACGTCTACATGAATAATTTACGTGTTGCTTATGTGATATTTACATGGACTTTTTTCACGTAAACAATGTAAACTATGTAAAATACTATAAATTAGATGCCATAGTGCAAGAGGAGAAAAAATAAATTACTAGTCCAGATCGGTTTAAACTATAAAATTGTAAACGTATCCGCATTTGGTGTTAATTATAAAGATATTTCATGTTAAACGTTGAAGAGTCGATGTGTGTACGTGCAGGTGACGTAGAAATTTTATTATTTAAATTCACCTGTGATCTTTTAAATGGGGAAAATACAGTGTTTTTTAGATTATAACAGACACAATATGCGTAATACTTATTTTCCTTTTCCATCAATGCGAAATGAAATTCCCCAAATGCACTATTGATTTCTCGTCACATCGTACAATGCTAAAATTGCGCGCGTTATATTTAAAACAAATTATTTTATTAATTTTCAATAGATTACATTAGTTAAATATAACTTACTTTACGTATGTTTAGAACATCTCTACAGATGTAAAAAGTGTATATGTTGTCAACATCATACGAATATTATTATTCGGGTTTACCTGTGAGCTTCCCACGGAAAAATAATATAAAAATAAAACTTACATTATGTAAAAAAAGACGGAGCCGCCCGCTTCGCGTTCAAGGGGATGCTGGAATGATCGGTGATCATCGACGTTACAAATCCCATCGTTTTCCGAAATAACTTGACAAAATTTCAGGCCCTACACGCGTTAAAGCGCGTACACTCGCAAAGTGTGGAACGGCAATTTAAACACACAACGGGATTTAAACACGCTCGTCCCCGTGTCGCATTTAAAGTGTCAGCAATTTACCGACAGACTTTCATTCCGACGAAGAGGCGCTTTCCCGCCGAAGTTCGGCCGTCGTTCCAGCATCTCCTCGATAATCGACGCGCATCAACCGGGATCGCGATGACCGTCCGAGTCGCAGGACTCGGCGTTATCTGGCAAGATATTCGCGGTATCTTGTCGCGGTAAGCTCGTACACGTCGGAGAAATACCAACGGACTCGCGCCCGTTATCCATTTTATCGGCCTCGGCCTTTGAAGTAGAAGCGCAACACCGCGAAAGAGGCATCTGCATTACCGACGATTCCCTTCGTTGCCGCGGAAACGTTCGCGCTGCGAACGAAATGCCCCGAACGATAACCGCGTACCAAATGGTCAGCAGTCTCTCGAGCAGGTCTGGGCATCTCCGACTTCTTGATAAAAAATAGCGTCTGCTTTACCACTAGAATGTCTCTATGACGAATATTTTACATGCAGGCACGTTTTTCTCAAGATATACGCGTGATTGATCTCATTACATATAATTCTATTTGTCAAGGTTGATTTTTCTTAGTTTCTTGAAAATTAATTTTTCCATTATCGCATTATGATTGATCTCCCATCTTAAAATATTTGATTACAGACTTGATTTGATTACAGACAGAGTCCGTTTATTTGACAATTCTCAATTCCGCCATTTTGTATCAAATAAGAAACCAGGCTAAGTAAGAAGCAAGAAGTAGGAGATGTCCAGACTCTTATTTGAGGGACTATTAAGCGTGTCTTTTCTTGCCATACGTAATCGGACAATTGGAACGGTGTGAACGTTATGATTTGACTTTCCAACCAACCCAGACTTTCACTATTGTAAAATCATAGGAGAGATTTGGTGTCGTATATGTAGCATGCATGAAATCTTATGAAATGTGTATGTTACAATTTCGTCGTTTCGGTACCGAAGCCATCGGCAAGGTGAGAATAAAGACCGCCGGTCCTACGAGATTCACGGTTTCAGCGGAATGGATGACTTGTAGTTTTAAAACAATATTTTATGCCTCAAATCTTTGTCTTTATCATTATTTAGACAATGATCATTCTTATCACAATCATTTCTTATCTTTTTTTTTAAATTTTTCTGACATTATTTATCATTTTTTATTTAAACAACGGTCTGTCATTAATCACGAACAAAACGGCTTCTCAGTTTAAGACTTCAGACACGGTTATTGTGTGTTACTTACTTACTTATTAAGACGAAAATTTAAGGCGTAAAAAATTGCTTAAACCAATAAATCAGCTATTCTACTGAAACCCTTAGCGTCTATAAAAAATTTTCGCTGCCCGAGAAGATCCTGTCGGTAAATTTCGTGTTAAATCAGTGCGAATAATAACAGAAATGCAGTTTCGCACAGATATCTAATATATTTCATACGTTTGTATCGGGAAAATAATAAATTATAAATTATACATGGAAAAAAATGTCTGTGTGATCGAATTTACGTGAGAATGAACAAATCAAACGTGTTTCGCTGGAAGAAAACAGAATTTCTCGTTCTTATAAACCAAATTCGTTTCTTACAACCACACTGAAAGAAAAACTAAGTATCTAAAAAATAAAAAAATATTTATTTGACGGGCACTAATAACAAATTTATTCATATCAAGGTACATATCTCCACACTGGGAAAAATTCTTTTCGAATGAGAATATATACATATTTTCTTAAATCTGTAGCTTTTTACGAAAACAATTGTTTACTCTATCTAAATAAGAAAATTTAGATTGAAGTAATTATGTCACTAGCGCCTACCGAATAAATATTTCTTTTACGTTTCAAATATTTTCCCTCTCAGTGCAGAAATGTCGGTTTCTTTCCACCAAATGTATTTGTTTTGTCCATCGCCAGGTAGATTCGATCAAACTTTCTTTTCCGTATACAATCAATATTTCGTTACAACTCGAGTGTCCCAAACTTTATATCGGGTGACTGAAAGTGATCGATAATATCATCCGTCGCGTCAATCACCTCTGGGCCCTTCCTTTCGATGGCCGAAGAGAATTTAACCCAACAGATTTACCCAACATATCCTATCCTGTAACTTTGAAAGAGTATCGTTATCGTTAAGAGTTAGAAAATAAGCCCACGCGGTCTTTAACAGCACCTCGTTGGTGGCGAAACGAACGACTAGTGCGATCGCCGCAATCGCTACAATTCGCTCGGCGATTCAAACGAATGGGAAAACACACAATTGGGGATGCGCTCGTGTGTGAGCGCGTTGTTTGTACAGAATTATGTCGGCAATATTTCCGCGGCCGGGCGAACGTTGCTTCGACTGACGTGATGCATGTGGAATTTCGAAATTTTCAGCCGCTTTCTTTCGCGCGCGTCATTTGCACCGGTCTCGCGGAACGACTCGACGCACTAAGAAGCAAATTTCAGGTACATTTGAATTTCCGATGAATACTTACGATCGCACAAATGAAAAAAAAATGCTAATTGTAAGAAACATTCTTCTAATAAATGTTAGGGCTATCGAATCAGCATAACCGTAAGCATAAGACGATTTCTTCGATGGGAGAGAAGCATTATATAATTTTAATAAATACTCTCTTAAATTTAAAACCATTTTACACTTACATTCGGTAATTCGTTTGCAAATTAAGGTATTGCTGCGTTCAAATGAGTGTTATTAAAATAAACTAGAATTGAAGTGAAAATATTACTTGATTTAGAGACTGGAAAACAGGTAATTACGTTTATTACTCGATTCTAGCGCTTTTTTCGGCGTACCATTTAGGTCGAAACCAAAAGAAGACGGTTGAGCCGCCGGGAACGATTAGAATTTTACCAGAATTCCTCTCAGTGCGTCGAGGCGCGATTCTCACTTAGACGTATCGACTTGCGTAGGGGAGGACTTGCGCGAGACGTCCCGCGGGTGAAGTTTTCCACCGAGCGAGCGGTCGTCGAAAGATAGAGGAAGAACGAATGACAGGAGGCGTTTTGATTAATACGCCCGCGTTTATAAGCGCGTCGTAAGCGTGGAGTGGTAAATGTTATTAGGCGCACCGTCTGGCACCGTAATAGTAAACAAAACTACCCGAGGCGCGCCGTCATAAATCCCGGCGCGACTTTTGACTCGACATCCCCGTGTCGAAGCAACCTCCGCGCCTACCACCAACCCCTCGCTACCTAGCGTGTCCCTCGCAGCCGCTAATTATCGACAAGCCCCGATTTACCGATAATCGATTCACAACGCGCCTCTCTCGTCGCGCTCGAGGGAGATATCGATCTCCCGGGGAGGTGTAACGCGGTAACCTGCTTACCTTTCACTGGCGATGGAGCTGTTCCGAGACATCGACTTCGGCGACATCTCGAAATCGCTGTCACTCCGGTATAGGAAGCTCTCCCGTCGCTGGGGCAGCGTCTGGAGAACGAGCCCCGCGCTCGGCGAGGCGCCGCCTCCGCCCCCGGCGCCGCCGTCCAAAGTCGAGGCGCCATTCTCCACGTCGAAGCTGCAATGAGAAAGATTTCTTTCTTCACTCAGGGGAACATCCAGGAGAGCGGATCATGCGGGAAAAAGCTCCTTCCTTCGGCGAAATCGAGCGTTCGCGCGAGGTCTCGTCTCCGCCGACTTTCCTCACGTCGGTCCACTTGGGACGTGACGTCAGAGAGAAAGAGAGAGAGAGAGAGAACATAGTAGAGTCGGAAAGAAATAACAATGCATTCCGTCGATTCTGAAAATCACATAAACAAAAATAATTACGCGAAGGCAGAAGAAAATTAAAAATGAGAATGACAGGCCCGCTTTTCCTTCAGAGAGTGGGTTAAAAATAACTTTGAGTTATATATGCTTAGGAAAAGGAAAAGATTGAGCTACAAATTTATTAATTTTAAACTCTCAAAACTGAACTAAATTTAAACCCTAAACTAAGTCCATATCTAAAACCGAATTAAACTCAGATCGGCCGATAAATTCATGTCCGTGCGAAAAAAGACAGATAAAAATAATTATAAACATTTTTTAAAGATTAAAAAAGAGAAAGAGAGAGAGAGAGAGAGAGAAAGGTGGGGCGAGGAAGCCCGCGCGAATTAATGATCGAATTAATGATCGCTCGTCGCCCGCGAGATACCATTTTAATAGCTCGATCAAGCCGACTTGCGATATTGCGATATCGTGTAGGTCGCCCGGGCGGGAAGACGGAATACGGTTTCCGCGTGTCCTGATCGCGTAGAGCAGCTTGTCGAGAGAGACGGGGGGATGGAATACGGCCGTGATAGAACACCGAGCTTCGGGCATGATGAATGGGACGCGCATTGAAATATACTATTGATCGCGCGCGTCCGGACACCTTTATGAGTTTCTGCAGTCTATAAATGCGGCGCGTTCGACGGTGAGCAGAAACGGGTGAAATTGATTAGCTCTCTTCCTGCTCGGCGAGAGGACGAGAATTTCCTTGGCTTCGGCGAACAAGAGAGGGAGAGAGAGAGAGGGAGAGAGATAGAGCCCGAAACTTGGACGCCACTTTGACGCTCTTAAGGATAGCTTACGCCTACTTAAATGGCTTACAGACTAATGAAAAACCTACTTTGACGATATTGAAACTTGTTAACTATTCTCATGAGCCTCGAATTCTACACTGAGAGAAAAATATTTGGTATTTGTAATTATATAACCATCATAATGAAAGAAGCAGTTCGGGTAACTGTTTGTCTAGTAACTGTCTGTCAGTATCAGTGATTTCGAGATGTCTTCATTAAACATTGTTCCACTGAAACAAAGGAGTTTTTTAATATTTTTCCAGCGTTACCTCCTTTCAAATAATTCGTTGCCTGCGATAACTATTGTAATTTGGAGGAAAGACCAAAGAGAGACGCCAAAAGGCAAATTTGCTCCAACTAAAGAAATTTGATTAAGCCCGAAGAAATCCTTTTCTCTATGGGGGAAAAATCGGGGGAGATTTTTATGCGGGAAATTACATTATCCCACACAGCACAGATGTCCTGAGGACATCCTGAGGGGCGTCCACAGGATGTTCCTCGGGTCAAGTGTGCTGTATGGATATTAGAATCGAAATTAATCCTATTTCGTGCTATCTCAGCTCCCCTATTGTGTCGTAGAATTAAAGGCTCACCGTACGGCTGAAATCCCGAGACTCAGGAAAGACGGTTGAACTGGAAATCGCCGGAAAAACGAATCACGTGTATCCGCCGCGGATATTTATTTTCACCGATGCGCATCGTCGCAATTTATATTTTCCTCTACTTTCCAGCGCGTCTATTTCGGTCCGGTCGGTTATTGCCGCGCTGTCACAAGACTCGAGGCTTCCTCTATCGCGAAGCATCATTCCGTCCTTCTTAGGCTCGCGTTGGAATCTCTACTGTACCGCTTACGTACCGCCGCTTTTATACTCCCATTATTGACTCGGCAGAGCGCGCTTCTTTCCGGGCCGAAAATCCCGACTAAAGACTAAACCCCTCGCGTTTCAGCCTCCGAAACGGGATTCACCGAAAACAACCGTCCGAGGTCTTCGACCATGCAGACGTGAATCGAACAGACGGGAATAGAACAGCGCTGGAAGCCGAGAGAGGTAAGTGGAGTGACGCTGTGGCGAAAATAAATAAATCCGAAATAAGTCGCGTCGTACGTTTCGCAACGCGCGCAGCGTAGTGAAACGCTATTTCCCAACGCTCTGAAAACAATACCGCCCACGATTCCCGGAATCCTGGAATCTCTCTCGAACGTCAATTTTCTCCGGGCCGATTAATAACTCGATTTAGGGAGAGGGAGGGAATCTTGTTCGCCGAGGCACCGACGATCACTTATCTACTCCAGGTAGAAATCGTACGCATTCAACCGGAGACTGGCGAGGAGGCACCGGTGCTCTGAGAAACCCGTTTACTTGAATCAACGAAATTCTCGTTTGACTATGGGCGAATCAATTTTTATTATAAGAATCAAGGTTCAGCTCTCCGAGGTTTGGTTGATTTGAAACCTCCGAAACTTCGGAGAACCGAACCTTCGGTTTAGACAACCGAACTTCGGTCAGAAATCGGCAGCTCGCCAGCAGTTATCTCCACCTTGGTACGATCAACATGTGGCGGCGGGGGAAAAAAAGCGTGTAGCAAGATCCTGGTTACGCTAACGACGCGCCGGGAGACTGCTTTCGTAACACCGAGCGGCGTCGGGTTGAATCTCTTCCAGCTTGCGTTGCGTTATAAATATATTTAATTAAGACCCAAGGGAGAGTCCGTCGATGGCGGTTCCGAGATCGGAAAATTCGCCACATAGCTGCTCGTTACCGCGCCGAAATCGTCCCCCGGGATGTATGACACTCACGCGTCTCTGGGAAGGTGATTCGCGCGGATCCACATGCCCTCTCTCTCTCTCTCTCTCTTTCGATGGTTCTTCCGGAAAGTTCACTCGAAACGCGGCGGATGAAGAGTCTCACTGAAGGGGTTCTCGACGGGCGTCGATGAAATTTCCGTTAAGTAACAAAAGAGCCGCGGAAACGCGCGGCGAAAATACAATGGATGCTCGACGAGCTCGCACTACCGCGTACGATGCGGCAGCAACGAAATTGCGTGTTTTCAAAGAGCCCACAATGTCGGAAGCGAGCAGTTACCATGGTCACGGTAATTCGCCTGCAATAATGCACGGCCGCTTAATTAAATTTTCTTTGTTTACATCGCGGGAGACCGCGAACGCCGGCGTAGACTGCGTAGAGTGCGGGTCTTCGGCATTTTTCTCCTCGAGATTGCGATCGTTAGTTACGCCGTATTACGTAAACCTGTGATTAATCGCGTAACCTTGCTATTCAGCGCGACTAATAGCCGGCCGTGTCGATTGTGGCGGCCATTTGCGCTCCGATCGCCGGTGCGATTGATAAAACGGCATCCCGCATAGAACATTTTCTGCGGTCTGATTGGAATCCGTCTTCCGATTTCCCCAAAAAATGAATGGACTCTGATTGTGAAATCCAACAGTGGAGATTCGGACGAGGTGGAATGTTTTTTTTCTAAAGCGCGACTCTAAGTGGAAAATCTAGACAGATTCCGTTTTCTTAGTCCAATGTCTGTTCAAAGCGTAATTCTAAATGGGAAACTCAGATTCCATTTTCCATTTTCTCTGCCCAACATTTATCCAAAGATTTCTTTCTTTAGGTTTCTATTTTATATTTATGCGGAATAAAATATCTGAAAAGCTTTACGCAGGGAAAATAAGGTCTATTTGGTTCCCCATAAAAAAAATTGTATGGGACCTAATTGGGACCTAATTGGGATCGATTTCGATTAACCAATTAAATAAAGTAGGGATTTTAAATTGGGAAATCCAGACAGATTTCGTTTGTTCCCCAATATTTTCCTCAAGTTTCCTTATAATTGAGATAAGAATGGAATTCCTAATTGGTATCACAATATGTTATACTTTTTTGGGATAACTCTGAGTAATCTGATTAAAATCTATCTGCTTAAGAACGTTTGGGAAATTTCCATACGGGATATCGCGTGGAAACAAGCGATGTTTACGGGAAAAATGTGTTTCTCAAGCGAGACGCACGAGCAACGTTTGTTTGCGCCTGTTAGAACCAAGCCTGCATGGCCAATATTTGTCGCTGCTGAAATATAAATGTCATTGACAGACGCGTCCGATTCGTGACCGGCCGCGCCTATTCTCGCTTCTAGAGAGACTTCCAACGCGTGACGTTCACAAAATTGTCGCGTAATCTACATAAAAATACATTGTGTTCCTGTGTTAAAATCGGTCCTTAGTTTGTTAAAAGTTTTATGTTGAATTCTCAACATAACCATATATTAATACAATATAATGTGATTGCGTTGTTTGAAGATTTTCCGTTGAATTGATATTCAACATTTTTTCCTGCCGAAATAACACACTTTATATGCAAATATACGCTCAACATAAAAATTTTATCTAGAAGTTTAACGCGAAAAAATTATGCAGTTTCGGAATTATTTTTCCTCGACAAAAAAAATAGTTTCAACCTGTCAAAACAACACGTTTTATATATTGTTAAATATTATACAGAGATGTCGTTGTCTTCTATTTTCTGTTCGTCACCAAAAGCGACACTACTGTATCAGATCGTGTTGCACACTATAAGGAACTTTGTCCATGTATAAGTTCTAAATATTCTACTAATAATGGGCTAAAATAAAAGATTATTGTTAGAGGATCCAATGTTCCATGGACACACAATCTATAAATCGACGCTGTTCACACAGAAAAAAAATAATATCAATTCAAGACTCGCATTTTATACGTATAAGTGCAAGAATATATAATCTCATATGAACATAAAACTCGTTTACACGAAGAGATAACATAGTTTCAATAAAAATATATTTTTGTTACTCAAGAATAATTTTTATGAATTGAGAGGAAAAAAATATTGGATAGAATGAACGATATCTTCAAATGGATACAATTTTCAGATGATATTAGTCTAAAGATTGAAATCATATAAACATAAATACGGCACATCACCATGAT